AGATCTCGTTACTATAATAAAATGAAGCATTTGAATGTTTACCTAAATATGATAATAATAAACTCCCATAATTGTATTAACAAAATCAATATTGTTGCATTTATGCAAATCATAACACTGAAAAATATTAACATAAAATGATTATTCTTAGGCTCAACTCGCACTGGCGCAGAGTCGAAGCGTCGTGTCGCGTCCTGTTTTACAACTACAACGCGAAAATAGAGATGGATATACTACTATATACTATAGGCGAAAAACATGACGCGTCATCATGACTCCTCATGACGAGTTGAGCCTTTATGTCTCATAATTAATAGTCATAATATAATATAGTATAGTATAGTATAGTATAGTATAGTGTAGTGTAGTGCAGTGCAGCACAGTACAGTCTAGTACAGTTTAGTACAGTTTAGTACCGTTTAGTGCAGTTTAGTTTAGCATAGCTTAGTATAGCTTATCGTAGCATAGCGTACCATAGCGTAGCGTAGCATAGTATAGCATAGCATAACATAGCACGACACGACGCGACGCGACACGGCGCGACACGACACGACACGACACCACACGACACGATATAATAATACTAAAGAACAATGACAAAACCATAGTTAAAAGAATTCGTTAGCTTCTTCAAATGACTTAATTATGTTTCAATAAAATAAATAAATTAGGTTTTTCAAATTATAATAACAGCGCTAAGTCTAGAAATAAAATCATATTTAAAAGAAACTCTAACAACTAATTAGTACGTAACCGGACTGATATCTATGACTATCAGTTTCTTAACATTGAGCGACATCTAGCCGCCAATAAAAGAATTTCAGTACCTACGTATGGATATGGTCCACATTTAGTTCTCTTAATATCAAATGTACTGATTCGACCGATTTGTAATAAGCTAATAAAAGATTAACTACTTTATTACAAAAAATAAGTCCATAATTTCTTCCCCAAAATGCCACGCGAAATGGTAATACCGACAAAAAAGTTCTCAAAACCAGGGATAGATGGCACGTTTCACAAAAATATAATTTGTGTCCGAGTTACCAGTGCAATAGTTTGTGGTACTGTATTAATTAACTCAGGTTTTTTTTGTTATGGCTTAACTTCATGCCTCTTGACCATACCAGTACACAAAACAATTTCCTCTGAAGTTTCGTTACGTCGCAAACCCACGGCACCATTCAGTTTCTATTAACTCTGTTTAAGGCTTCTGTAGTTTATTTTGATATAATAAAGAATTTTTCGGTTGTTATTCATATATAATTTAATGTGATGTCATAAAATGCCTATAGCAAATGGTGCTACATTTAGTAGGTATCCAGCTTTTTCAGCCCATTTCTCCTTTAAAAAGAATCCGGCAAGAAACTAAAAAAAAATCAATACAAAAACTGCAAAAATAAATCATGCCTGTGATAAAACTAAGAACTCAAGCGGACGAAGGTGACGTATAATAAGCACGTAGGGAGATAGGAATCATGTAGATAAGGGAAAGAAAATCTTCAATCTCATAAAGTCTTCATTTGATACTCCACGAGCTTACGAGCATTGTAAAATTATCGATACATCTATATTTCCTTTTTATCCTTAAATATATCATTTTTACTTAAATTAAAAATTTAAAAACTATTGCGAGTATTGGCACCAAACATTTAAGTAATCAAAATTATTAGCTTTTAAATATTTGTAAACAATTTATGTTTACACATTGGTACCGCTATAATAAAAAAAATGTTGAACTAAACCAAAACCGGGTTTCTAAATACAGAGTTTCTACATATCGATAATTTGATTACAACACGCGTATCCAGTACCAAGTGTAAATACGACACTAGTGCAAGCAATTCATTGAGCGTCATTCGAATTGTTCTTTTGACGGCGGCGATGGTTAGCAACCAATGTATATTGTTATTACCGGGTTGTAAGAAAATAGTTTTGCTTCGAAATTATAGTATTGTGTTGTTCAAAATATTAAAAGATACAGACTTTTAGTACTTACCGATGAAATGAAATCACTCCCGACATATTTTTTAAACTTTGGCTTCTTACGCGACATGATAACGGCACACTTCGGCATATTTCTATTTTTTTCCACAAAATATTCATGTATCACGTTTGAACGACGACTGACGCGCTGTTGACATTCATATGACCGTCTGGTCATAAGCTAGGTAACGTGGACCCCGCCCACTAACCAGTCTATTACATTTACTACTTACTATTACATATATTAGTATTTATGTGGTTAGTAAAAATGTTACGTTGTACGCATCAAGTATAAATATGTCAAAATAATGATGTAAATAGATATATTATAAGTGCGAAAAAGTTGTCGACTAATTTCCTTCGTAGAAGCTTTATATTTTTAAAAATATTGTCATTTTGCTGATGTGGCCTTGTTACACCAAAGGTGTGGTATTGTATAAACAAACTAGCTGTACCTGGCATCCATTCCAATGCCACTGAAAACGTGTCAAATACAACTCAGTTTGGGCTAATGTGATGAAGGGCCTTAGCCCTTTCCTTAGAGCATAGTTTCCTAAAGTGGTCCTTACTACCCCCCAGCGGGCGCTGAAGAGTTCTAGGGCGCTGTCCAGGGGGTGCTACCGCATTCGAAAAAAATCCCGATATAAACTAAACTACAAACATATAATTTCTTTCCTTGTGATTTTTTGTGTTAAGTTAATCAAAAAAATATGCGTTTCCAATATTTTATGTGGTGGTTGGCGTTGAAATTGTTTTGTCTTGCCTGAATGGGCGGTGAGCCAAAAAATTTGGGAACCTATGCCTTCAAGGAACTCATGCCCAATAGTGGGCTCTCATCAATCTATCATTTTTAAAGCGACAAAACTTCTGTGAGTTATTGTGTCCATACAATAACTCGCAAAATCACCGTCGCAATCAGATTAATAATGCAATGCATATTGGACTAACAAACAAGTATACATTCATTTTTATAATAGACAGGTATGCATTATTAAAAAGTAAAATGTAAATGTAATATAGTAATATAATAACTAATAACCAAAAAAATCTAACAATCTTTCTTGATTATAAGATTATTAATGCGAATAATGCCACCGTAACGATAAAGGCCTACCTAACTTTTGATGAAATTCTATTTCAATAATTGTTGGAATTGTCAAACCAAAAAAAGAAACTTTTTGAAAATTTGTTGTGCGAGTGTAGTGTAATCAAATTTTCTACCATAAAAAAAGTCATAATCGATATTTATTAAGTTGAATTCTTGATTCTTTCATAAAAATAGGTTACTTCGTAACGTAGTTTAATATTTTGATAATTAAAGATTTTGTACGCTATATATGCTATTTCTTTTACCATAAAGTGCGAAACACACAGAGAGCGGGAGCGAGTCGGGCGCGGGACTGCGGCGGGGCTAATTTCGTGTTTGGACGACATCGAGTGTATGTATAACCAGAAATAGAGACAAAATAAGGGCAAATCTCATCAGGCAAATGGGTCTTATATCACTTTTAAATATCAACTCTCATTTGCGCTGATTACACAAATGAGAAAACTGAAATAGTACAGCGCCAATAACTGACCTGTGTATACGTCTCGGATATATTAGAAAAATATTCTGTATTTATTGTAATAAAAATAATATCTTCAACAATCGGAGGCTGTTGCATTCGGTGGTGTGGGAAACACAGCAAAACGTCTAATTAAAAAACAAAGGGATCTCATTTCATTGATAATTAAATAATAAATATGTAAATCCGTTTAGTAAAGCTCAAGTTAAACTGGACGTTTGAAGTGAAACAATTGACACCCGTCAATTGTTTCGAATTCGGGTTGGCCAATCGGAATGACATTTCATCTCAATTTTTGACGGCAACTCGACGGAACTATGCTCTTATTATGTAGTTCAATTACAATAACTTCTTTTTAATAGGTGAGTTTCAAAAATAAAAGTAAATCAAATTTGAAAAGTAAAGAATATTCTTTATGATTTTTCTACTAAGTTCGGAGAAAATCAATGTTATTCTTAAGATTTTTTTTTGGTGGCAGTAGCATCTTGTGAAAGTGTTCGTCCAGAGAAGTACTAACTATCTTACTATTTCTGCCGCCAAGCAATAGTGTGAGCATTACGGAGTTTCGATTCTGAAGGGTTAAGAGTGCTGGTAAAATCACACGCACATAAGACTTGTCAACTTATGTCTCAGAGTGACAGGCGCATTGAGAGTGTCCCTCAGATTTGCAATTTGAAGCTCTGAGTAGCAATGTAGCTGCTATGGACAGGCGTGTAGCTTACCACCAGGCGCACGACTTGTTTGTCCCTTCGCATGGTATTATAAAAAGTATTTGTATTGAGATTATGAGAATGAGATATTTTCTGGTTGTGGTTACCAATTATTTGTATTCTGGATTCTATCCATCCTCTTTACACATAATATGTTGCGTTGCATAGCTCTTTGGCAAACCTTGGTCTTGGATTTTTGTCTTTCGGTCAAGAACTATGGCTGCGCACCGTAGGTAAGGATGGTACATGTATACTTACAGGATAATTTTTAAAATGCTAACAACCTCGCAGGGTAAACGGTGACAATTCTATGTTAACAGAAGAAAGAGCTAACGTAAACATCCAGTCCGGTTTAAAACGTACGAGCGGGGTGGGGGTAGATTATTATTTCCATAATGGCGGCCACTAGGCTTGGGTCAGTGTCAGTTTCGATCTCGGACCAACTACCGTCCTACCTAGTTGGTCCGAGGTTCCGATGAATGTTGTCAGTTAATATTGATCAAAAACGCCAATTTTTAAGTTATTAATATTTATAACAGCAAGGTATTAATTGGACGAGGAATGAAGCAAGGAAGGAGGTCATACAAGGAGGAAGTCAATTTAGGACATTCAAAGAAAATGTGGTCAAGGTTACCCTCATCCAAACCACATTCACATAAAGAGTTGTATCTGACACGGATTTTGTTGAGGAACACAGGGGAGTAAGAGTAGCCCAGTCTCAACCTACAGATGTTTGAAAAATGTTGACCGCTTCACGATTTTATTTGTCAATCTTGCGCAGGGGCTATGCTAATCTTCTCTGTATCGTGTAAATTTTAGTATATTATGTACTGCCGAAGCAATTACTGCTATACTCCGTTCAACCATTTATTTAACTTTTAACAGCTCCAATTCTAATAATTAGTGATGTCCTAACGCGTTTCCGATTCGATTTTTATAACTAACGATTTTATTTATGAAGAATATTTAATCGTGAATGTGAGCGGGTTCAAAAAAGAATATATTGTCTTATTGGGATCTTGATGTTGCGTTTGACAATTTGTGTACTCAAGAATTAATAATTAATGTTAATGAGGATTCAAGTGATGATTCTCGTTCACATGGACAAGAATCCGACGATTTATCATAATAAACAATACGAATTTATTATATTTATTTATGATTATTTCATTTCATTGTAATTTATTAGACGTGTACCAAAATTTATCAACTTGAATAGTCTTCGTAACATAATCTGTTGGCTCGATAAATATTGAAGCTAAGGAGAACGTCGCTTCGCAAAAATTAATAACATTATACAATTCATGTAAAGATCAATCTGCTACATTATGCAAGTTCATAATTTTAATAGTTACTAGCCCCTTTATACAGTCACTACATTGATTATTAATACAAAGATCGAACACTTAGAAAAATTCCATCGATCCGGCTGGATTTGCCATTCCAACAATCTATGTTAGACGCTCTTCCAACTGAGTTACGGAACGAACAAAGTAGACCTTACGATTTTGTCTTTAAGTTTGTTGCACATGTTTTTAATGACTTACGTAGCGCCATCTGTAAGAAATCTATTTCTCACCAAACCAGGTACCTTTGCAGCTACCTAGAGATGTCGCTTTAATCATTGTAATGTTTGTTTACAAAAGTGTTGCTACCATGATACTCAATTATTTTTTTATGAAATTACTCCACTGGGTTGTTATAGTTATTCATAAAAAGATCGAACACTATCACTATCTATCACCGATTGCTGGAAAGGCATTAGTTCGAATCCAGCCGGATCCAAGGAATTTATCTTAGTGTTCGATTTTATATTATACATTTTCTATGGAGTACCATCTGTACCAACCGCAACCGTAGCTTTAACAATTTCTTAACAGGCATATCTTGCCATTATGTATATTATGTATGACATATACATGTCTGTTTATGAAAAATATGTGAAAATGTAGTTGAAATTTGTTTTGGGATTATTATTCTGTGAAGACAGGAATTAAAGATATTCCAGCTTGAACTTTTGGAGGTCATGTGTTACGTACTGAATGGAATAAAATATATTCGGTGTATTTATTATATCTTAATATTATATCTTATATCTTAATAGAAGCTGAATTGCACCAGGCATGGCTTTGTGACGTGATGAAAGTTCAGAGGAAATTATTTTGTATACTGGTATGGTCAAAAGGCATGAATTTAAGCCGTAACAAAAAAACTGAGTTAATTAATAATATACCACAGAGTATTGACTGGTAACTCTGACACAACTTATTTTTATTTGTGAAACATGCCATCTATTCCTGGTTTTGATAACTTTTTGTCAGTGTTACCATTTTAGAGAAGAAATTATCGACTTTAAGTAGTACTTAATCTATTATTAGCTTTTTACAAATCGATCGCATCACTACATTTGATATTACGTGAACGAGATTCGCTCTGGACCTTTTGGAGGGAAAAGTGTCGTTTTTATTTTGACTTTCAATTATTTTGTGAAATCTAGTTTAAAGTGGAATAGGATAGGGCTAGTGTGCCTTAATCGAAGATTAAAACGCGAAATTATACGAATCTCGAACTAAAACACCCGTATCGGCCCGTTTTAAGGAATCCTGAATCAATCCAAGCACGCCGCCTCAAATTGCCTATCCTCTTTGTGGCGGCCATATTTACGGAAACATATTTAAACTCCATGTTTAGGCTGATGGCTTTGCCAAAGCCTTAATAAATAATAATAATAAATTACGTGAACGAAATGTGGACCATATTCATATGTAGGTTGAAATTCATTTTTTGGCGGCTAGATGTCGCTTCGTCGATTAGTCATTAGAGTTTCTTTTAATTAATATTTTATTTCCGACTTAGATAGGCCGCTGTTATAATTTGAAAAACCTAATTAATTTATTTTATTCAAACTTGTAATTAAGACATTTGAAGACGCTAACGAATTCTTTAAGCTATGATTTTGCCATTGTTCTTTACAGGCTGATTTCACATCACATTATTATCTCCTTCATATTTACACACATTTGGCTTTTACCGATTCTTGAAGTCATGCATGCAAATTAACAAATATGATAAGAAAATGAACAAAATAATCTCAGTACAGAGTACTAAAAAACCGACATCAAAAGTACTTGGCGTTACGTCTATTTGCTAAGTTTTATTGAAATATCCTTAAATTCGCCACTGTACAGGACTTGACACTGGAGATAATAAAATACTCAAAGAATATTGAGAGCAAAAACGCCTTGAATTGGAGAAATAGCAAAATCAACCATTAAAATAATTGCTCATTAAGAAAATTTAGGCGCTATTCATAAAAATGAATCTTCATGCGTGAACAGCCACCCTTACAGGTGAATGATTTCCTTCAAAATGAAATGGGACCACTACAATAGTATCCCCTTTCCAACAAAAAAGAATCATGAAAATCGGTTCACAAATACCGGAGTTATCGCGTAACATACATACAAAAAAAAAACAAAAAAAAAAAAAACAAAAAACATACAGTCGAATTGAGAACCTCCTCCTTTTTTGGAGTCGGTTAAAAAATAGAAGTTTATCCGCCTCCTAAATAATCATTCTTTTTAGATACGTGTTTGGAGAAGATACGTACGTGTGTAGCGAATTGTGGTGTATGATTTGACAACACAAACTCAATTGCTTCACCTCACACTCATTAAAATTATGTATAACATTGTCATTACACTTAGCATTAGATTATTAGAATACCTATTATGTTTTTAATTCGAAGGATGATTTGGAGTGCCCTAGTGCATCTAGGCGTATTACAATCGCCGCATATCAATCTTTTTGCATATTTGCTAACATATTTCGGTCAATATATCAGCAGATTGTTAGGACATACAATAATGTTCGCAATACTAAATTAGGAATAATTTTATAGTTAAAACCATGTTTAAGCATTTCTATTACAGTAGTATTTTATTTTTTTTTATGATTCCTAGATTTTTTCGTAAACCGCTTGTTTTTGTAACTTTGCCAACCGCCACCGTGTTGGTGTCTATTATAGTTACCCCCACCCTTAAATTTGTGGTTATAATTATATTTATCTCTACCGCCATTGTTGTTGTCATTATTTGCACCTACACCGCCAACGTTATAATTAATATTATGGTCACCCCTACCGCCGTTGTTGTTGTTATTATAGTTGCTCCAACCACCATTGTTGTTGTTATTAATATTGATACCCCCACCGCCATTGTTGTTGTTGTTATTATTGTTACCCCCACCGCCATAGTTGTAATTATTATTATAGTTGCTCCCGTCGTTGTTGTTGTTATTATTGATACTCCCACCGCCAATGTTGTTGGCATAACCAAAGCTCGTATCACCGCCATTGTTGTTATTGTTAACGATCGTCCCACCATCAACGTTGTTGTTATTATTAATGTTTCTCCCACCGCCAATGTTATTATCATTATTTATGTATCTACCGCCCCCAATGTTGTTATCATTATTAATGCTACCGGGACCGCTCCTGTTGTTGTTATTAATTACATAACTGAGTGTTTTAGCCTTAAGAGTATACATAAACGTGCTGTAACAGTCGGATTGACATGTTTTTGAAAACCAACATTTAATAGCTTTCTGAATTCTGGGATCTATGCACAATATGTCGTAAACTGCTTCGCAGGCTTTCGTACACTTTTCTATGACTCGACACATATCATTGGGATAATAAGGGTAGTAGCAGCCACAAGCGGCGCAGTCTTCTTCGCTATTAGGATAATATTGCCTATTTCCACCATTAGTAGATGCTTTGCGATCTTCTAAACACTGAAACAATATTGAAAAATAAGCTCGTGTCATCGAATGAGTAAATTGAAGTAGAGTCATTTTGAAAAACAACTCTTTATTCTTTCCCGGACCGGGAGAAATATTTGTATGGTCTACATTTATTTCTCTCGTGAGTTTGGGTGTAATTTGTGGTTGCTTATATGTGTGTCTATGACACCCGCGAAACAGAGTTTTCCCAGTGCGGGCCTATGAGTTTGTGCGTTATTTGAAGTTTGAACTTAGAACAATTTAACGAAAACAGGACACAATCAAAAATTTACGCATATAAGATTAATGTTCATAATCAGAGTACCTGCTAAAAAAACCGATCTCAAAAGTTCGTGGAATCACATCTATTTACCAAGTTTTATTGAAATCGGTTACCGGAAAGTGCGCGAAACCGTATTCATCCCCTAGCTTGTCACCCTTAAAGGTGGAATATTTTCTTCAAATTGAAATGGGACCACTACTGAGGTTACCCTCTTTCTAACAAAAGAAGCATCATCAAAATCGGTTTACAATTTTAACTTATTTATCGCGTAACATACATTAAAAAAATACAGTCGAATTGAGAACCTTCTCCTTTTTGAAGTCGGTTAAAAATTATATTTTTTTAAATGAAACTTATAGGCCTTTTGCTTAAACAATATTTTAAAGTGATATGGTATCTGAAAGGGGTAATTTAAATAATTTAAATGCAAATGCTACAAACATTTTTGTGTTTACTATATAGTTTACATCACATTTTTATATTTTATATAATAAAAAATTATATAGAAATATTAGAAATCAGAACATCGCATTTAGATACTCATTCACTCTATTCCCCAAAAGCATCTGAATTACATGCTCACTGTGAATTACTAAACCGATTTAGATATTTTGTTGTCGGAGATACATCATGTCATGTTTGTCGAATGTGTTCTATCGTGTATAATGTGTAGTTATCGGACTCATTATCTCAAAATTTGTTTAATGAACTGTTTAGCGAGATTTTTTTTTAATGTTATTAAGTCACGCGGCGAACAGTTTCAGTGCCCTGGAGTTTAA